TGGAGCATGCTGTGAGCGGGATGGTCGTTTGTCGTCCCCCCCCCCGACTACGAACGCTATCTCGGATCAAGTCCTCAATCCTCCCACTCGTCCTCGCGATCATCGTCGTCGCTCTCCTCATCATCGGCATCACCGCTTTCCACCTCATGGCCGTCACTGCCCTCCTCCTCCTTCTCATCGCTCTCCGCCTTCGCCATGGCACGACGGTGCAAAGCGGCGGCGGCGGCAGCCAGCTGCGATGCGCTCATGGCGTGCCGGAGACCAAACGCTGGGCGCACGCGCATCTCGTGCTCCTCCACATCGTCAGGCTCTCGCACATCTCCGTCCCAGTCGTGCTGAAGCCAGCGCTTGCTCCACTCTTTCCACGTGCACACCCAGACCCGATCGCTTCCTGGGACTTCGCGCAGTGCTTGGTTTTGGACATTGTTGCTCACGTGGTAGTCGATTGCCCGGAGCACTTTGCCGCCCATCGCCTCCCACGCCCGCACCGAAGCATCGTGGGGTGCGTCGAGAGCATGAAGGAGCGAGTTCAACAGTGCAGGAGTGGGCTTGTTTCGTGCCGAGACTTGCTGTCTTGCGCAAAAGGCCTGGATCGTGCGGATGCTGCGAGTGGAGAAGCGGATCGCTTTGCCCCCGCCGAGAAGGTCTGTCTTGGTGAGGTTCTCAAAGTACTGCAGCGCTCCCGTCAGTCATTGTTGCACACGCGAGGCGCTCGCTCGGCACCCACCAGTTCAGCTTGCGACCACTGCATGGCATGGTGGACGTCCTGAGCGCTCTCGTCCACGTAGCTGCCCGAATCGTCGTCGTCGTCGAATTCGCTGCCGTCAATGGAGTAGATGTCGAAGTCGTCCGATGCGATCGAATACTCCGACTCGGAAGTTGCGCTCCCTGCTTGTGACATGATGTGTTGCCGGACCGCAGGAATACGGCTTGTTCTGACCACAGCGCCGACTCCCTCTTTCTTTTGGTTCCGTGCCGCAGTACAATCGAAGGTGCTGGCCAAAATTGCAGGACATGGGCCAGATTCCACCCGGAGCATGGTACGACCCACAGATGGGTGCCTTGAGCATGGTATGACACACAGACGGGTGTCTACCATGCCATGGGCCATGACCCATGCACGGGTGGCCACATGTGCTGGCCATGCGTGAGACCCAGTACCCCTCGTGTCACGACAGGACAAACGACGATGCCATGGCCTTTGGTGATGCTCATATCGTCTTTCAACGTTGCCGGCGACATTCGTGTCATATGCAAAGATCGCCAGCGCCGCTTTGGTCACACGTATTGCACTCTGCACCCGCATCTGCGCCGACCCTACACTTTTCCTTCGTGCCAACCACGCCACGCCTGCGATCCAACGGACATACGAACTCAAGATGCCACCCAAAGCAAGCTACAAGCCATACCTCCCTCAGATCGAGGCCTTCTTCAAAGAAAACGAGCTCAGCTCCCCGTACGACTTGAACGCCACACTCTTCAACCAGGCCTACGATCTCGCTCGACTCGCCCGTCCCGCTTCTGACAAGCAAATGGCCAACTTCTTCAAATATCTCAACACCACTTTCCGAAGCGACGCTCAGGTCTCTGGCAAAGGCAAGCTGGAGGCCGAGCTCATCAAGGAGAGCCTCGCATCCTACTCTGCTGACGCCCCAGCCGCCTCCGCGGTCGAGAGAGTTGCGGCACCAGAGCCTGCTATGCCCATTTCAGACGACTACGTTGATGATGACATGTCCGATGCCCACGACCTTGCTGGCCACGGAGATCCCCTTGAGCCTCAGCATGCTGGCTTTGAAGCCTCGAGAATGTCCTCTGTTGAGTGCGAGGCCAATCTCAAGCAGAAAGAAAAGGCCCTGGAGCTGGAGGTTAGCGCCCAGATCGCACACTGGAAGCAGGAGGTGGAGCAACAGAGATCAGAGAATCAGGCTCTGAAGAGCAAGACGGAAGCTCTGAGCAACGCAAACGCCGCGTACAAGCAGCAGGTCACTGTCCACCTGCAAAAAGTCGCGAGCCTCACCGATTCCAATGCCGGACTTGTGCTCGAGATTTCTGACCTCACCAAAGCAAATGATGCTCTTTCCAAGCTGGCCGCGGAGAATGAGAAACTCACCAAGGCAAACGCTGCCATCACCAAGCAGAAGCTCGAACTTGCGGAGAAGGCCACCAGCCTGGTCAGGAAGCAGGCCGAATCCGACTCCAAAATTGGCACGCTCGAAATGAATCTCGCATCCGAAGCTGCCCAGCTCTGCTGCCAGCGCGACAAAGCCGCCACCCTGACGCGTGAGAAGAACGAGCTGCAGCAGGCTCTCGAGCAGTACCAATCGGCTGTCGTTCTCCCTGCTTCCTTCATCCCAGCGGCGGTCCGCGAGCACGCGCAAGAGCTTCGCGCCCATGGCAGCGAGGAAGCGAAGCTCGAATTCCGACAGGCGTGTGAGGGCGCTGCGAGCGGCATGGACTGCAAGGCTTTGCAGAGTATGCTGTTGCGTGCTCGAGCCGGCGTGGATGGGGGGATGGTCTTTCAGAGTCTGAAGGAGATCAAGAGCATCGCTGACATGCTGCGTGGAGCTCTGCCTCTTCAGGAGTAGCGCGCGCGACGCCATGGTAGGACTAACATTCACAACTTTCGCTGCCGCTCACAGCATGACGAGGCAGAATGGCGAGCGACAAGATACCATCCGTTGAAAAGCGCCAAATGCACTCACGCTCTGCATTCGGTCATGCAGAGGCATGATGTATTGGCATGGTCCTCGTCTGCAGGGTCATCTACATTCCTCAGACGTAGATAGCACACGGACACACATTCACTTGTTGACGATTCTTGTCACCACTCCTGTGCAGATTTTCTTTTTCCTTTTTTTCCCATTTGCTCGTTGAGAATCGCAATCTCGCTTTGCTTGCTTCCCGTCGGACAATTTCCACTCCGGACGCCAATCTATGAGACATATCACCATCCAATGGTCCCACATGCATGGGGCCATGCCATGGCCGATGGGCGATGGAAGACATGCTCCATTCTATGTGCGATGAAAGGCGTGCTCCGTCCTATGTCGGATGAGAGACATGCCCCGTCCCATGCCCGACGAGAGGCATGCTCCTTTCCGCCTACCAGACGACGCCAATGTGGCGGCACCCCTGTCCTTTGATATGATCTCCGCCACCATCAATCCTTTACAGCGAACTGCCGGCAAGAAGGAAAAGAACAAAAAAGAAAAGAATCATTCTCTCTGTTGCCAAACCCACACCTCTCCTGGGACTGTCTTCTCCCATTCACACTTTCCTCTCCCTCGCAACCTTCACCACCTCAGGGGAAAAAACTCCCGAAGCCCATCATCATGACCTGGACTGGTGTGTTCGAAAACCTTAGCGTTCAAGACCTCAGTCGTCCACATTCCCGCATCAGCTGGTCCGCCGGCACTCTCAAGGCGATACTTTCGTTTTGCGCCGAGCACCAAGTCTCCGATCGGAACCGTCCAAGCCCAGAGCAGCTGGTTCAACTACTCAACAAAATTGACGCGCCAACGAGCGATGTTGATGCGTGGAAGGCGGCAGGCACCAAGACTTTGGCTTGTATTGCTTCGCGTACGGCGCAGCTGGCTAAGGCGGGAGATGTGTTGAAAGAGGTGAAGAGCAAGGATGGAAAGTGGGTTTGTCAGTGGGCGCAGTATAGCCTGTTGTGGACGGATAAGGAGTGGACGGGAGAGACGGTGGTTGTGGAAACTGAGCTTTCGCCTGCCGAGGCGAAGATGCTGAGGGAATTTCGCCCTGTAGTTGCTCGTCGCCATGAGTTGGGACATAAGCGTCTTGTTGATGCTGCTGCGCATGTCTACCAGCAACGTCTCAAGGCTGGAGAGGCATTTGCTGCATTGGTGAAGGAGGAGGACAGCGCCGGGCTGACGATGAAGAAGAGCAAGAAGCCGAAGAAGGATATTCATCTTCGCAACAACAGCACACCGTCCAAAACCGATACCAACGCCGGCGTCAGCACTCCAAACTCCACCTCCAGCAGCCCGGCTGCTGTCAAGACCCCCGTCCTCCCGTCGACTATGGTGGCCTTGCCACGCCCACGCCAATCGCCAGTGGCCATCCCATCGCCAATTGTTACGGATTCCGAATGCTCCTTCACGGACTTCATCGAAGCATCAGTTCGCAAGAACGCGAAGCTGAAGAAAGCGGCAACCACTTCCACGTCCATCGATCCCATCAATATCCCAGCTCGCAAGGAGAACGAAGCAGCAGCCACCACCGCCTTCTCCTCCGTCCATTTTACCGACGTCCCAGCTCGCAAGAAGACCAAAACGCCTACCTCTGAGAAGGGACTGACCCCCCTATCGCCACCAGCAACGCCTCGACCATCTCAGTCACCACTCTTGCCAGCAGTAGCTACAGCTCCATTGAACGCGAGCGTCGTCGACAACGATGACTGGTTGAACATCTGAGCAAACGCCAAAGGAGCGGGAAAGATACCGAAGACCAGTCTTTTGGTTGCGTGGATCGCTCAGAAAGCAAAGTTGCGATTGAGGGCATTCTATTTGCCACACGGACGTTTAGCCAAAGACAAAAGAACGAAGAAAAAAACAAAAGACGCTCTGACGCAACGACTCGAATTGCTACTGTCGAGCCATCTCGAAGGTTGCTTGTTCTGTTAGCTTACCAGGGCATTTTGCTACAAATCATAACACGTTGATATCTTTACTCACAGTCCGTGTCCAAATCCGTGTTCACTCGCCGGGCCTGCAGGCTGCAGGGAACGAAGTGAAGCGTTCTGTCGCCGCGATATTCCCCTGCTCTGCCTACAAAATATCGACCTCTTTGTCATAGAGCCCAACTTGTATCCTTTGTTCTTTCGTCGTAAGCAAATGTATTATGCATGCTCTAGACTTTTCTCGCCATGTCAGTTCGAAGGAGACAGAGAGACAGGCCTGATTCCAAGACTGAACAAGCAGCTTTGAGAGTTGCCATGAGTTTGAAGAATCCTGCTGAATTATAAGCGGTACGGCGGATCGATCAATCAAGTAGAACTCCTCGCATAGCTGGGGCGTGGGAGACACGTGCCCATAGTAGCGTGAAGAGGACAATGCGCCTGTAGTGGACCAGATGCAGTAGATCTTGCTGGGTATGTGTCCTATTGCTGTCTTCGAAGACCAAGTAGTCGAGCCCGTCGCGCCAGTCTGCTGTCGTGGAGCACAACGCGCAGGGGTCTCATCAGAACACGACGCTGGTTACGGCCAGATTCACCACCTTCTTCGGCTTGAAGACATGCTGGCGACATATTGAAGGAGCTCATTCTCATTGACTTCTTGACCATGGCCATCACCTGTGTTTCTCGTTCGTCATGGTGTAGTGCCCCATGCACTTCACAATTCACTCGTTCTTTGCCATCGTGGCCGAGTCGTTCGCGCTCCTCAGAAGGGCTCTGACCATCTTGGACGTCTACTACGTTGCGAGTCTGATCAAGACGCCGTACACCAGCGTTCTGATCCTGTCTCCCAACTTTGACTGCGGCGTGGAGCGACCAGGCCGGCCCGTCAGGTGGGAGCGTCCGTGATGGAGCTTCGCGCTGTGTTCCGTCAGCTCACCGTCGCTGCGTCTGCGAAGTTTCTGGAAGGTAGTGGGTTCGCCGCGACGGCCGGTGGGGAAGCTCGTGAGTCGAGCGTCTGAGGAATATTCAAGGCTGCTCGTCGAGGTCGGCGTCTTTCGATGCCGTCCAAGAGGCACGCGACTCCTTGCAAGCCTTCGATCTGAAGATTGGTGCGTGAGAGGGAAGCTGAGGGAAACGTCCAGCAGGGCGGAAATTCGACTCTCGATGTTTGCTGCCGAAGACGGTGACTGGTGCGCGCTGGTCATCACCGCTTCCACATCAACCTCATCACCGCCGCTTCCACATCGACTTCATCCTCACAACACCCCCAGCAACTTCGTCACCACTTCATCACCGCCACCCCCCGACTACCGGTGCTCTCTTCGCAAAGCTCAGCGCCCACGTCACTACCACCTTCGCAAAGCTCAACGCCCACATCACTACCACCTTCACAAAGGTCAGCGCCTACGGAAAAAGACACCGCCATCCCTCGTTTCGAAGAGGTCGCCAACGCAATCGGCAGAGAGCTGAGAAGGATGGTCGGCACCGCATGCGAGGCCTTGGCAGGGATGAAGGGTAACAAGGAAGAGAGTGGCGCAGCGCTGCAGCCTGAGCCCTCGCACAAGCTCGCATCTGCAACCGACTGCGACTGGGTCCTGATCACAAAGAAGCAAAACGCTCCAGCTGCACTGGGCGAGAGCGCAGACCAGAAGACCGGATGAGAACAGAAGAGTGGGTCTATCACAGGTCGCTTGAACGGCCGCACTGGGTGCGTTTCCGAAGGTGTCGACATTGTCCTGCACAATGTTGCGCTTCTGCCGGTCTTGTTCGTACAGCGATAGATTGATGGCACGTCTGGCGGCATGTCCAGCAGCGATGGCATGTCCGGTAAGCTTCTCTGTATCGTAGCGAGAGGCCATTAAAGTGTTTGGTCAGCGAGTGTCACAGATAGCCTAGTGTCGCAAGCCAAGATTGCTCGATTTTCGTACGTGCGGCATAACAACGTAAGGACGCAAAGCTTCGAGAGATGTGCCTTAGGAATTTCGTCGCAAAGAGAGGAATTTACTCGCAAAGAGGGAAATTCAGTCGCAAAGAGGGGAATTCAGTCTCGCAAAGAGGGGAATTCAGTCTCGCAAAGGGAGGAATTCAGTCGCAAAGAGCGGAATTTCCTCGCAAAGAGAGGAATTTAGTCGCAAAGAGAGGAATTCAATTAAGAAAGGAATTACTGCCTGCGTTGCTAAGAACACAGGCACGAGTCCGCAGGGGCATGACTTCGAATGTCGATTCGTAGCTCGAATGCTTTAGCTATCCTCTTTGCATCTCTAGAAAGATTCAGTCTGCGGAGGATAGAACTTTTAGCTAGCCTGCGGAAGACCGTCCAGGATGAGGGTGGCGTTCAAGAGAGCTACATCTGAAGAGCGTAATCTTTTGACGAGATGGTTGGTATTGTGGTCGAGATGAGACAGGACGAAACGTTGCGAATTCACGGCGATTGGTGGGGAAAAGTACGAAAATTGAAAAGCATATTGGCAAGGGAATAGAAAATTCCACGCTGGTATTCCTCGGCCAAGCTTCCTGGTCTCTGTTTGACATCCCTATCCTTGCTCGCGGTCTCGACATATCGATCCGAGCCTCTTGGCTGAATTGTACAACAATGGTCACAAGGGGATCGAAGCATTTAGCTGCTACGCCGACACCCTATGCGATGCACATGTACGTCCGTATGATTGCCATTTGTACAGAATTGGGCAGAGGTGCATGCACTGGCAACGTGACCTTTAGAACGCTTCAGTAGCCTTAGGAGAGGTCGATGCAGATTTGGAGCTCTAGAGACTGTATCCTAGCTGGTTCCAAATCACGAAGCGGCATAGCCAATGCGGAATATGGACCGGATGACCGCCACGGGGACAGTGTGCAGAGGTTAATCTCCTAGCAACAAACTTTGCGTGCTTTGGAAAGCGGATGAACATCTTGTGTTTCCTTTCGGAGACGACCATCATGAGCTGACTGGTCACGGCGGTCGACGGGGATAAGCAATGGCTCAAGGAGAAATCTCAAGCTGCGTGCGTTGGGAAGACATTTAGGGCGCTGCGGGATAGTAAGACCTATCCGGTTTGTGAGACGGAATGGAGGAGATGCGCCAAAGGCGGTGATTGCGGCTACGAAGGAGCAGACAGGGTAGTGGTAGTAGAAGTGGTGGCTGGAGATGGACGAATGGCGATGCGTACCATGGCACGTGAACGGCACTTGACCGGTGGCTGTCGGGCTGCATTGGCGGCGAGTGGTTGTTGCAAGCTATGGAGTACAAAGTAATGTGGGCAGATGATGCGAATGACCCTTCGCTGAGCACGTTGCCGGCAATGCCTCGCGCTCAATGACATGAGGGTGTCTCCGCGAGAATGCTGCGCAGAAGCCTCGGGTTCAGGTCGGCGAGAAGGCGTGAGATGTGCTCTGAGCGGGTCGCAAGGGCTGACGTCCTGCCGGTGGGGAAAACATTAGTTCGCTGGCAAGAGTGCTGGTCGGTCGTGCTCTGGCTTACCTGGCATCGTTGCGTCGTAAGTCGTGATGTTCGTACCGCTGCATTTGTGCGGTGGTGTGCTTCTGTGCTGTCCAAGATCTACGGGAGAAGAAGAGCAGCGCAGGTGATGGTCTCAAAGCCGCGCCGGCAGTCCCGCCAGCAGCAGCTCATGCACCTTGCCCAAGCCATCCAAGGCCGCGTAGGTGCGTCTGTCGCGTACTGCAGTGGATATGGCACGCACCTGCTCCTCCACCGCAGCGACATCGAGGCCTTCGCGCGCCGCCGCCTTGCATGCCTGCTGAAATGCCTTCTTGTCGCTCGAGCTGCCCGTATTGCGCAATTGCTGGATGTACACGCGGTGCCCTTTGGGAAGCAGATCGAGCTGCTGCTCCTCCTCTTGCTGCTGCTCCTCTTGCTGCTGCTCCTCTTGCCGTTGCTTGTTCTGCTCCTCCCATCGCCGCTGCTCCGCCAGGAGCTGCGCGCGCTCGACATCCAGTTTGTCCTGCAGCTCTGCGGCGGCGACACGTTGCTTCTGGAGTCGGCGCTGCTCCGCTTCCACGAGCGCTGCGTGCGCTCGCAACTGCTCTCGCCATCGTACCAGCTCGCGATATACGTCGTGGAATGCAGCTGCTTCGTCGCTCTCGCTCGAACTGGGGCTGTTGATGGGGTGTGGGAGCTGCTGTGCAGCAGCAGGACGAGTGAGGATTTGGGTGCTGTTCGGACGCGTATGGGGGCGATGCGATGCTGCCGTTGTTACCGCTACTGTTTGATGGTCCATGGCGGCGGTGGAGATACGTGGAGGATTGGTTGGGGTGGTCATCCGTTGTCAACTTGGGTCTTGGGGATGCAATGACGATTCCGGAAGAAAGATGAAGCGCAATCGGCGCCGACATCATCCTCCGTCAGGTACCCATTGCCGCACCGCACACAACGCACAACATGTGATTCGCCTGGAGCAGCCAGGATGAATGCATAATTTCTCGTCTTGTCGCCGTTCTGGGCTCCCAAATCACTGTAAAGGCAGGCAGCTAGCAGGCCACCACCAGACACTCCATTGCCATCGCCATCCGCAGCCATGGATCCGCGTTCGCCGAGCATGAAGGCTTCTCCCACGTCTGCACCGGCCATGGACATGGCTGTGGCCCAGTCTCCGCACGCTGAGAGCACGAAGCTGGAGCAGAAACCCACATCTTTCCAATCGCCGGACATGAAGATGGACATGCCACTCATCTCCACCACCGCAGCGTCACCATCCATGAAGAATGAGCCCTCTTCTCCTGCTTTCTCCGCAAAATCACCAGCCATGAAGGCCCCGATCGCAGCTACGGACAGTCAACAACAACACGACGCTATGAGTCCGTTGCACCTTCCAGCTCCACGTTATGCTGCTCACAAAAACAACAACAACAACGATAACGCGGCACCATTCGCGAGTGCACCAAATCTGCCGTCTAACAACAGCACATCCCACCCGACCACAAGCCCTGAGAAGTTGGAGAAGATGTCTGACGCAAGGCGATCGATTCCCGCACGCATTGGGCTCATCCTTCGCAACGCAGCTCTATCTCTCTTTGCTCTCTACACAATCTCCACCTTCGTCCCATGGAGTTCGCAATGGGCGCGCGCGACGCACAACCCAACCACACAAGTGCCATGTCTCGCACCCGTGAAAGAGTACGCAAGCGTGAGCATGGAAGAAGATCCAAGTCACTGGCTCCTGCGCCAATTTCCCGAGCATGCAGACATGGCAGCGTGCACGAATGCGGAAACCTGGTGCCAGCTTCCATCATCATCCGCGTCCAACTCCTCGACCACCAACGTATTGAACTCGGCCATTCTCGCCAAGGGCTGCGCATCAATGGAGCCCTTACTCCTCCTCCTCAACATGCACCCTGCACTCGTCATCAACAATCACAACACCTCCTCAGCAGTCCCGTCCGGCTTCGACTGGACGCAAATCGGATCAAGCGACCAAGAACTCCTTCGCTTGTGGACAGCTCTGCTCGCTCCCGACTCCTTGCTTCCGAGCAATCAGCAAAATCAATGCGAGCGGGCGATTCTGCAGGCCATGAGAGGGCTTTTGTGGTGTGAAGATTTTCGATTTGCGCGTACGAGGTAGTACACGTCGTCCTCACGCGACTTTCTTCTAGATGAAAAGTGTTGTGTTTGGGGGCAAAGAGGGAAAGGCAAGGAACCGAGCGAGCAGTGAATCAATGGATAAATGGATGATGAATGCCTGGATGGGACGAATGAATCGATTCCCATTTCCATTTCTTTGGTAGCCAAGTAGTATTGGCCAATGAACCGCTCGCGAAGAAAGCAGGAAAGGAAAGCACAGTGGTACTTACTGTACCACCACGCCAATTGAATGTCATGATATCCCGTCCATCTTCAGCTGATGTATGATCGCCGCCCAATCCATCTCCGCGCTCCTGTATCTTTTTGTTTCTTCGACGCGCGCCATTCCCGCAAAAGCCATGGCCTTGCCGTTCGGCCGCTGCTTGACGTGTGCACGACATCAAATTCCTGCGGTTGGGAGTGGTAATGTGCTCGAAGAGGAGAAGCGCAGTAAATCGCAGAGATACATCGTCTTTGGTGTTTTGGTGGGTGTTTCTTTTTTCGGTGGCTTCCGCCGACATGCTAACAAATTCATCTTTGGCTGCAGATGGCGGGAGAGCTTTCAGGCATAGCGGGCGATGTTGTGATGAATGGCCTCAACTTCGAACAAGATGGCAGCGTGGCATGCCAGCCACTGCGATTGCGTGAGGTGGGATGCTGGCGTCGAGGAATTGTACAGTGCGGACCAGAGGGTCACGATAGGATCCATGTCGCGTAAGTAGGCGGTGTGCGTGGGAGGTTGGTGTGGTGGTGATGGTGCTGCTGGTGGGATCATGACCGGACGGGTGAACAGTAGGGCGGTGGAGCAGGAGTGCAGCGTAGCTGGTGGGTCCGAGTCGTAGGAAGAAGGAGAAGAAGGGCGAAGTGGTGGTCGGTGGGCCAAGAAGACAGCGGCGGCAAGTGCGACAGTCGAAAGGATGATGGCGGCGACAATGAGACACCAGAATGCCGGCGGAGGCTGGGAGGGAAGTGGGAGACGGTGGTCGACTTGGACCGGGGAGGATGAAGCTGGACTTGCTGGTTGTCTTGGCCATGTGTTGCGGCGGCGGCGGTGGCGGCTGGGATGCTCGCGCGTGACGAGAACGAGGGGCAGCGAGAGGGGTTGGCTATGTCGGCGAGGGCGTGGAGGCAGCCCGTCTGGCAGCTCATTGGCCAGCGTTGGTCCGTGGGAGGCTCGTCGCGCGCGAAGCAGCGGAGAGGGCGAGGTGGAGAGGCACGACGTGCTTTCGTCGGGAAGCCAGGCCGTGTTCTTGACTGCACCACGACGTTCGGCATGTGTATGTTTGGCGGCGGCGGCGTTGCCCTCTTCAGGGTGCAAGGCGGCGGTCGCCGGCGACAGCTCCAGCTCTGAGGCAGCGAGCACCATCTCGCCCTTCTGCTGCGAGATGGCCGTCTGTCGCATCTGATGGCCTGGTGAAGCAGCACGATGATTGTTGCTGCTGCGCGAGAGCGATGGGCGCGCCCCAGGTTGCACCCACACTGTTTGCTGTCCCTCCATCAAGCATTCTGATGCTGGGTCCCGTTCTTCCTCCTCCACCTCCTCCTCCTCCTCCTTCCCCTCCCCTCCCCTCATTTCTCCGACGCATGGCTCACGAATGTCGGGACATCGACGGCTCGACGTGTGCTCTGATCCAACAGCGCCTGGCGGAGCAAGTGACGCAACGCAACAACGACATTTACGAGCTCGAGCTGCAGCTCCAGACGGCGCGTGCCGAGACGGCCCAGGCGCAGCGGGCCCGGGGCCACAGTCGGCGAGAGATGAGCCGACTGGAGCATGATCAGGCGGAGCCCATCGCAGTCAATGCCAATCCCGCCCCTCCGCCGACCAGCGGCGTTCCCACCTCACGCTCCGCCCTTCTGCACCTCGCCCGTCGCTTGCTCATCGACCTGCACACCGCAATCGCCGACCGTGACAAGTGGCGCCGCCGAGACGCCTTCAAAATTGCGCGCATGAAGCTGTGGCGCGAACGACATGGCGTCGAGTGTGCATTGCGCGACGACGTGCTGCTGGACACCAATGAAGCCGTAGCAATGATGGTGCCATCTCGACGTCGCGCGAGCGTGTGAAGAAAAAGCGCGCAATCTCGGGCACCTGCAGCAGCAGCAGCAGCAGCAGCAGCAGCATCTACCACCACCATCGCCTGTCGTTTTTCGTGTTTGGCTCTCAATACGCACCACCATACCTNNNCCTTCTCCTCCTCCTCCCTCTCCGCCTTCATGGGCCCTCGACCGACCAAGCGCGCGCGAACCTCGCAGCAGCAGCAACGTGGGCCCCCACCATCAACAGCCGCTATGATGATTCAAACGCTCCACGAAATCCTCTGGGACAACAAGTTCGTCTCTGCATGCTGCGCTCTCATCCTCCTTCTGCTCTTCGTCTGGTATGCTCGGTCTTCTGTCTTTGCTAGCCACAACGCTCCATCCACACCTCCCTCTCCTCACATCGGTCATGCCCATCAGCCTCTTTGTCCCTCGGTCAAGTCGAACGGAGAAGTCGTCACGGCCGATCCTGTCCGCTGTGGCTTCAGAGTGCCCCCGGCATCATCAACGTCACTCTGGGACAACAGGAAAAGAGAGTTGTGACGGGCAAGCGGCATGGTAATGGCAGGAGAAAAACGGACAAGTGTACACGGAATTTGAAAGCTTCTGCGGGCGACAGAAGCATGCAAGTGCCCTCTCATCCGCTCTTGCACTTTGCAAATCAGAAATATGAGTACCGAGGAGTAGGTGCCTCACGAGGAACATGAGCGAGATATTCAAGGGTGTGTGTGATGGAAATGCTCACAAGAACGCAGCTTCTCCTGGCTAATCTTCTCAGCCTCGTAAACCACGCCGTCACTCCGCTCCTGCCATTCCTCACGCCCCATCGCTCGCACATCTGTAGAGTTCCGCTCTCTCAAGACCCGTGCTTCCCACACCCAAGGACCTTTGGATCATCGAGATTTGTTGTTCTAAGCGGCTCACGTTGCTACTTTTTGAGCTTGATCGTTCATCATGAAATTCCAGCTTCCTTTCTCAGCTCTCTCTAGCCTAGCCGGTGCCATCTGAGCTTCTCCGCGAATGGCGTGGAGCTGTCAAAATGACGCGTGTGTCGCGGTCAGAAGGTCGTCTCGAAGTTGTTGTTTGAGTCTGTCTATCTGTGTCTGTCTAGGGTAACTACCATCTGAGGCTGAATTCCTGGCCTCCCGCCTTCTTAACCTGTCCATCGTCTTCATTGCAGACTTCTGCTGCTCAATGCATGTGATGTGTCGGAACTGGCTGAGATATTCGAAGGCCACCGTTATCCTCATCCGATGAGAACTCCTTCAGGAGCGCTGCTGGGAGTGTGAGAACACGGCCAACGCCACCCTTTCTCGCATAGTCCGATGCTTGTGGCTCTGCTCTTACGACGTTTTCCAAAGAGAAGCCGCAGATATAGGCGTTGCGAGATCAGTATTGCGTGAACAGCGAGGGCAGGCTGGTCGTAGAAAGTAGCTCTGCCATCCCAAAGGTCTTCACGGCAGCCTTCGTTGCAGAGTTAGCAGAACAAGGGTGGAGGTGAACGCTAGCATGCGGCGATATACAGAAGCGCGAGCAATCTCATATGTGTCGACGCGAGTATTTTCCAAGGAAGACTAGCCCTATGTACCCGGCCGTGTTGCCGCGCCTCCATCGAATCGTGACCTGTAGTCGGGGTCGGAAAAAGTCTGCAATGGATGGAGTTACAACTGCTTGGCGATCCCTTCGTCAGGCTGCGTGAACATAAAGCCCAATCCCATTTGTGCCCCGCTCGTCGTTCTCTGCTTCTATAAGTAGCAGTCCGTGGACCCATTCCTGCCTAGCTGAGGTAGGGCTGACTAACCGCAGACTGAGAGTCATCGATAGCGAGACGCTCGCGGTCAGATGGGCGAGGAAAGCACAGTCGTTTCGGGACCGATAGTATTTCGAAGGTGAGCAATCATGCTTCGACGCACGAAGAAAAGCATGTTCGAGAAAGAGCTCGTTTTGAGCTCGCCCGAACGCAGTCTCAAATGCATATCAGCAGATCTGCGCACCGGGAGTCGTCGGTGAGTGTTCCGGTGTTGTTCTCGCATCTGCGGCGGGTATGCTGCCACCCTCGTTTGATTCAGAAGTGGAGTTGTTCGGGATGGGGCAGTACTATCGATAGACTCGATGACCTTGGCCGCTCGTCAAGTGCCAGACACGGTGCCAAATGGGCATCACTTTCAGAAGCGCCATATTGCCAGACGCGGACACCTCGGGCGGAGGGTTGAAAGCTGGCTGGCTGAACAGTACTGCGACTTGGTCGACGCCGACACCAGGTACCAATACGAAGATTCTAGTCGTTCCTCAAAACGAAAGTAGGATGAAGGTTTATGGTTGTCCTGATTGTTAGTGAGGACTGGGTTGAGGAGAGCTGGATTGAAGAGAACTGGTAGTGACGGTTTGGGATAAAAGCTTTGCGGATCAGAGACACTGCACAGGTGAAGAGACCAGGTCGAAACGGTCATGCGCTGAGCTGGAAGTTTTTCGTAATGCAGCATTCGATGCAAGTTTGATCCAGCAACGTGGAGAGATATCCTTCTCATTGGACTGCTCTTGCCAGAGCTCCAGGGAATGAGCTCTGGTGGATCATCCTCCGTGACAGCCGTTATATTTCTGGGCGATTCACCGACGGCAATGATCTCCCTGCAAGCGACGGCCGCAGCCCACACAATAACCTCCACAGTCCCTGAAGTGGCTGTTCGCCAGGAGTATACGCATCTAACATTCAGAGAATTTCGAAATCATGATATTTTAAAGATGTGGTCAGGTCGAGGATGACAACGCTGGCTTGACTGCAACTTCGTGGCTTGCAGATTGTCCATCGGGAGTAATTGTCGTTGTCGGATGGCTCGTTTCGATTCGTCAAATTCGAGGAAAGTTTCGTGCACATAAATCTACGGATGCAGCCCTGTTGTCACTATACCTACTGAGCGATTCCAGTCGCGTCACTCTGGTTTCGGGCTGGGGAGATCGACCACCAAACGAGACCAATCTGAAGCCAGGGAAGGTTGCGCTCCCCATAAGTGGTGGCCGGTATGAGGGCTGCCCGGGAGCCTTTAATCTTCGCGCAGGCTTTCACTGTCCGCTGTGCAGGAATCGCTGTCGTCCTCACCGGTTGTGCTGTTTCTGGCCGCGCTTGTGCAGCTGTTTACGGACCGCTAGTTCGCATGTGTCCAGTCAATGCCGTAGTCATGTAGGCACCTGACCTCTCCCTGCAGCTCTTCATCGCTGCCTTGGCTGGTCGTCAGGTTGGACCTCGTGCATCGTGACGCGGATGCCGGAGAAGGAGAAGGCGATTGACGAGATGGTGGACAGTTTTCGATGAGTGCGGGAATTCGCAAGGTCGCCGTCGCGACGCTGAGGCTCGGCATCGTCAAACAGGGGAACGAATGGCGCGCGTTCGTCGCTGCGGTATCCTGTTCGGGAGAGTCGGCGCCGTGCTCGTCGTGTGATGGAGGTGCGAGTGTTCTTGGGCGCAGACGAAGTGCGAGGGGGGAATGAGAGGTGTCGCCAAGCTCGGGCCGACTGGAGACTCGACAGCCCAATAAAACTCGAGCTCAAAAACTACAACCCAATCAAACTCAAGCTCAATCTTCTTCGAAGCGATAGAAGACTTCTCACAGTCCATGTCCTTCGGAAGCTGCGCAAGTACTTTGCGCGATGCCTTTTTCTTGAGTATCCGACTCCTCCCGCAACTTGTCCCGGTCTGACTTTGTGGGGCTCACATCATGATGTGCCTTCTCCACCTTGTCGGTGGCAGCTCGAGAGCTCGAAGAGCAGCAGTGTTGGCCCGATACTACCAGGTGCTCTACGGGACTGTTCAACTCAGACGCGCAGATTTGGCACTTCAGCGGGGCGGGACGGACTGGGAAAGACGCTGCAAGCGTGCTGTGAAGAGCTTGTGGACGGCACAAGACTTCCGGGACTCATCTTCTCCTGCCGTCTTCTCCGGTGCACTAACTAGCGGTTTGTGGTCCCATTGGCTTTGCGATTTTCCGACTACTGAGATTGCTCGGACATTGTCTAGAATGCCTTGCCCGCGACTCCTCGATCGCAGGCCGCTGCTGTCGTCCATGCTTAACATACTAGCAGGCTTCGCTCTCGTAGACTAATCCACAGAGTTGATCTCTCCTCATAAAGCCGTAGTGCTTGAGTTATCGTCTATGGTAACCGTGTTCGATGAAGATCAAGAGTCAGGGACCGGCTCATATTCTAGAGAATTTTGCCGCAGTCGATTGCACTTTGCAGCCTCGTACACAATGCATAAATGTTGATTAAGCTGAAAAAGCTCATCTGCTTACCACTCTTTGGCAGTATCGTCTCAGGAGGACTGGGGTACGGTCAAGCAGGCATTTCCAGCGAGAATTGCATGATGCCACAAGTTGCGTCAGCTCTTGCATGCTTGAATGCAGCCAAAGTCGAAGTAGGAATCGCTCATCGAGCAGGAAGTGGGTTTGATCAAGGGCATGATCCGTCCTCATTCCAGAGCCCGTATGCATGCGACTTTACCGAAGCGTGTTCGTTTGTCCTTGTACCCTTATCAAATGCACGTGCCTCGTTAGATTTGCAACTTAGATTGTAACTGTTTCTAGAGCTGGTCCACAGCCCGACGCGGCCGCGAATTGAATGGGTTTGCGCCGCCAACGGTTACTCTCTTCAGCATCGTGTTCGGTGCACGATTGTTCGATGGATCGTGCCCACGTCTCGGCCTTCCAAGAGTCCGTGGATGCATCCTCGACCAGTGTACCGATTGGGGGTATATTGAGCAAGCCACGCACTACGCGAGAGCTCAATGTGTATCCATCATCACTGAAAGTACCCATCATCAATTCTTCTGGGTGGGTTAAGCTAGTGAACGCCAATAACACACCCTGGTTCGATACGCTTTCCTTGACCTCCTGTGACCAACAGCCACACGTCCAGTACTCCCAAACCCGGTAATCAAACTGACTGAGCTTAATTGCATGGGCCACAACTCGAAAGTAACTGTCATTCGCAACTTGGCGTATCACGAAGGTAAAATGCCCAGCTTGTATTAAGATGTCCCCTGGCTTGACTTCAGGCCACGCGATCGCAGACACCGTGTCGCCCGTGTATATCTGAGAGGGTTTTTGTTCGTTGCTAAAAGGCAACGCTGTGGCATTCGCGCCATCCATCTGGGCCGCAGACTTCAGCAGACGACTGACCTCGGTCGCGGACTCCACCTCTTCTTCTTCTGCTAGCTCGAGGTCAGCAGAGAGCCGCCCAAGACAGTCTTGCCGCAAAAGACAGATGCCACGAGGTTGATGTGGCCACAGATACCAATCGACATCCACCGGCTGCTTGAGATGTTGCGACGCTTGGTACTGGGCAACAAGATCGCGCGTTGGGAGTTTGCCGAGCTCTAGCAAATCGATCACAATCGCTGCGCTTACTGGATGCTCATCGCGAGTATGCGACATCAAGTGAAGCGCCAGATCGAAGACGGAGGTCTCGTAATTGGGCTTGGGCTTTTGCATACCATTTCCTTCCCAGTCAAAAATCTCAAGGACGCCGTAGACGCGATCACGGACATCTTCACAGAGGAATTGCCCCGGTATGGACCAGAAGTCACTAAGATCCAATTTCCACGGCCCTCCCCCCCTAGAAACGATCAGATCGTTCAGAGTAACAAGCCTTCCATCGTAGCCGTGCTCGCCGACCAAATCGGGCTCAAATCCCCAACTGGTAAATCGGGATTCCAGGGCAATGATGTAATTCCAGTCCATAAGGGAGTCGCCACATAAAACCAGTCGCTCGTGGGCACTATACAACTCTTGTATGATCCATAGCCGAGAGAAATATCTGCGCGCAGAGAAGGTCTTCCAATGCTCGATCACACGATTCGCTGTTTTGGCTCCTAATAACAGCTCCAGCATTTCCCGCCGCTGAGGCATAGGTACTTCGTCGCTATCTTCGTATAGTGGAATCAGCTTAGAATGAGGATGAGAAGCTTCATAAATTAAGTTACTAGAAAGATCGCTTGGACCTATGCATGCAAGTACTGTCGCGGCGCTGGCATATATCCTAGCCATTATCGTTACTTGTGCAGTCTTCTCTGGCAGATCTGTCTGATTAATACACACAGAATCGATCCAAAGATAAGATCCCGGAAAATGTAGCCTGGCTTGCCAGAGAGCGTATCGAGCGTTCTCTCGCACTCTGACACGGTTACAGTTAGCGACTTCAAAACTATATCCCCTAGAAGAAGGTGTTATCGATGTAACGTTAATGAAAGCCTCTGGATCTGGCAAGCCCCAAGCGTAAGAGATTGCTCGATATTCTGGTGCGTCTTCGAGATCCTATATAGACACGGTACAGCGTATATCGTCTTCTTCGTTGTCGGGATGAATCCAGAGCAGTCGGATTTGAGAGTTCGAGTCGCTCAGAGGAGGCGGTTTCCAGGCGCGTGGAACTTGGCGGGTCATCTCCATCCTAGCTGCAGAGTAGCGACATGTGCAGTCAAGATCTCTGGATCGGAGGTCGACAACAGCAGAGAAATGTGGTGTTTGTTGCGCAGCTTCCGCGGGACGGAGAGCTACATACGGTGTGCTCAACTGGTCTGAAGTACCTCCTACGCAAGGCTGAGCTTTGCACAGCCCGCAAGCTATGCAGCCACCCGCGAAGGTGGCTTCGCACAATACACCTGAACGACGTCCGCTGCAGGCGGCTTAGGGCACAGAGGCTGCGCGAGCAAAAGTGCTGCCTTTGGGCGGGCGAGCTAGATCCGGGAGGAAAAGGCGAGGAATGCTAATGATGTCTTTGCTGCGACAGCGGAAGCAGAAGCAACGAAAGCAAAGAGAGATGATAAGACGAAAGATTTCAAGCTTGATCCCAATTGACTAACTGTTCTGAAATTTTCAAAAGACCATCAAAGCCACAAGCCACCCTTCCCCTAGCAGAGGTAATATCTAGGAACACGCTATGCGTGCGGTGCCGCTTCCATCATGCCTGCGACGTCGCAGGTTTCCGAACTTCTTTCTCGATTTGACGCTGCCAGACCTCAAAATATCCCAGAAGTAGTGCAGCCTCGAGGTTGGCAGGTGTCCGGTGCATCTAGTTGTGGTGCTCAACACATCTTTCTGGTAACAGGAACGCTTCTCCAAAGGATTTTCAGCCAGCGTGTGCTATATCGTGTTTCATCTAAGTAAGCCTGTTTGTAGGACAGGAATGCCATCTTCGCGATAAACGTAGGAGTGCTTGTCTGCAAAGCTACCAGCGCATTCGCAGTCGCAGTCGGTCGCGCAAAACCCTACGTATTGACGCTGAAGATGATCGGAGCCGCTGTGGTGCCGCTTCTGTTCCTGCGACGACGCAAGCCTTCGCAGAGTTCCCACACTGTAGAATCAGCAACGTAGCTTGACGCACTTCCTGGAGCAAGGAATGCACTTTGTGAGAGAGGAAAGTGCAAGATCTCTCCTTCCTTGGTGACTGGTCCTCTATCTCCAACTCATGAAGATACGATCGACAAGGATTCCTCTTCCCACGAATCGAATCTGCCGCGCAGCTGCATCTGAACCAGAAGCGAGGCGATATTGATCAGAGCCGACGCAAGGCGGTGTATGTCTGAGACTCAGATCGACAACGGCATGACCGGGCAAGAATTCGAGAACACTCCAGGGGAACTTTCGGTCAGTAATCGGCCGCTATCTACGCAGCCCGCTTTTCTCGGCAGCCATAGACTGGTGGCGATAGAGTGGTGCCATGACCACCCGACTCGCCGTGGGAATGACCCGTCACCCACCAGCCGGTCCTTGGGCGGAGGGGACAGGAATTGAAAGCGTAGAGCGTGGGCCATCGAAAGCCACGCTGGCCATGCACTTTGGGCGGACTCGGAGAAAGTGCCCAGCAAAATATCGTATTTGGCGATCTGTGTCCCGTACACAAATCCTCGTATCCTTCCCTTCTCACTTGGAGTTGTTCAGAATACGATGGTACAGTCTTAGTCGCATGTATCTGTAGCGTTCATTGAGCAGACGCGGCCCGGGATCGCCGACAATGAGATTTCGGATTCAAGCGGTGCGTGCTAGTGGCATGGTTGACACCAACATGGTCTTCTCCTTGTAGAATTGGGCCAACGAGCGACGGGATCATAAGCTTTGCTCTCCTTGAAGATGAAAGCGAGGCGAGGCCACATCTTCCATCAGCCTGTGTCCACAATCTTTGTCCGCTTCGATCTTGTCAAGCGAGAGGGAAGGCCGGGGCGAGGTGGGTCCGCTGGAGTGGCACCGACAACAACGGAAGTCCGGTCGGGTGAATATTCTGAGGCAGAAGTAGTGCTCCCGAAGCTCTGGTCGGCTGAGGCAGGTAGAGGCAGGCTGTCAGTCTGTTCGGACGGGCTGCTCGTCGGTTCGGAGTCCTCGCGTTCATGCACCCCAAGGACAGCCGTGGCAAAGAGGTCGTCAACTGCGCTTCCCGGTGATGGCCTGTCGCAAAGGTCAGCAGGGGAATTTCATGCCGAAAACAGGATCGCCACGTCAAACTTACGGATTGCGGAATTTGTTAGCTTGATTGATCACGTCTCGGAACAGACGAGACGGAAAGGTGACATTGCCTACAGCGTCACTCCATGTTTGGAAATGAGGATGTTTGGCAGAGACATTCCACGGCACAAAGTCGGACAGACGAAGCGTAAAAACCCAGTCTCGGGAGATGTCCTTGGGACCCCACTTTGCAAGACCATACTCTCCATCCCGAAAGTAGCGGCGATAACGCAGCACTTTCGTCGGCGGCGCCGTTGTCTTCTCCACTGCAGAATAGTCGGACGAGATGCCTAGTACAGTACGTACGTCGGTCGTCGTGTCCAGCACATATCTCTCCGACTTCTCCTTCAAATGGCGGAGCTGTTCTGACCAAGCGAATTCGAGTACAAAGACGGCTGTCTTCGCGTTGCCAAAGGTCCACGACTTGTCAGGACTGTCCTTGCCGCCGGCGGAGAGTACTGTTCCTTCGGAATAGCCGTGCTGCACATCGGCGCTGCCTGTGCTGCAGATATCGGTCGTGAAACAGTGTAAAGCGCGTTCGCGATCCTCTGGCGGCAGTGGAGAGTTACGGATGGCGTCGCGCATGTACTTGCGAATCTTGCGCTCGATTGATTCGCAGATACTCTCGTGAAAGGCGCTCACCATGCGGAAGCGCAGTTGCTTCGTCGCAGCGTTGTACTCCCAGCGCGTTCTTTCCTGCACGTTGTGCCACGTCTCGGGCTCGTGGGCTCGGAGGTGGTCGAGTGCCTCGGTAAGGACTGCGCGTTCGACGTCGTCACGCACAATATCGTTCTCGGCCCTCGCGTTCCCGTGCTGGCGGAAGAGACGAACGATATCTCGAGCGCTGTCGGAGGTAAGAGCGGAGAGCGAGGAGGATGCGGGCGGCGGAGATGGAGTGATGGTCAGCGGCGGAGAGATGGGCCGCGATTGCGTCGGAGCGGAGCACGCGAGATTGGGCGACTGCGGTGGCGGTGTATGGGGGTTGATGTCGGCGGTAGCGGAAGAGGACATTGCTTGGAATAAGAGAGTCACATAGTTGAAGGTCGACTGAAGACTGAAGTGTGGTTACTAGAAGTGCGCGAAGTGGACATGGTCACGTGGCGCAGCGAGGACGGACGGGACGCAGGTACTAAGATAATAACTATAGAGGTTTGCTTCCGAACTAAAGACGAGGGTCTACTTATTCGTTATTCCTCCTTATACCTACCGCGCTCCTATAGTGCTCCGCTAGTTAGCCTATATATAGTAGTTCTACTATAAAGAATAGTAGAATAATTAGTATATAGTACTATATTAAATAGAATTTTAATCTATAGTAGAGTTCTTCTAGTTATAGGCTATATAGTAGAAATTTCTACTTCGCTTTCTTAAATAGAGTACTTTAGATATATAGAAGTAGAGTTCGATAAAATAGTATATATTATAAATAGAAATAAATAAAGAAAATAAGTAAAGTTATAATAGATATAGATA